CAAACAATCCTTCGTAGAAAACAATAATGATAATATTAATAAGACGTACAGTAATGTTTATACAGCACTGATTTATTATAACTTTTTTATTACACTCACTGCTTAATATTTCCCTCTTTGTATTCAAGAGAACAAGAATTGAACCAACATTGTAAACAATTACAGTACACACAAAATAAAAGGTCAACAACAGATGTCACATGTTTGTTTTCCAAAGTAATTACTTCTGGTTACAGCTAATGAAGATTTCAAAGGAATGAGTAGCAATTATCGCTCTTAAACTTGACCTAACCAAGTGAATTTTTCATCCCATCCACTTCACAGGAACACCCGAGGTATATCAACCAAAATAATTATTTTCTTTCTCATAGTTAAGTAGAAGTTTTGAACGACAATATTATTTAATTTCCCTGTCCTTATTTTATTGATTAAACAATAAATAGATTTAATTAAGGCTATTTATCTCCCTTTCTTTAAGTTTGTTAGCTTTTTTCTTTTTTACAATTGACGTGGTTAAAATTTTACAAAATGACAGAAAATTTTATCTTTTGTGTTATGCGTTTTATGATATAATAAGCGTTTTATCGCTTTGAGTCGACATTGCAACTGTACACTCACTTTTGCTTTTCAATTCAACATGGGATTTAAAAGACCGGATTGGAAATTCGTATATATTGTAAATCAAAATAACATCTAAAAATATTTTATTTGTTTAAAGTCTGCTCTGAAAAAAAAAAAATGTTAGTAAAAGTTTTTGTTACAGCTACAAAGAACATAATAAAATCGATATTAAATATGTGTTTGTAATTTGGTTTTATACTGCTCTAATGCAGCAATTTTCAAATATGAGTCCAAAAGAACATCACATTTGCTAATAGCAGCTATTACGTAATATATACTATTATTATTATCAAATCGCAATTTTGATGCATTGGTTTATTATAAATGAGAAAACTCTTGTTTAATAATATAGAAAAACAGCTTTGCCAAAAAGTAAGCAAATGAACTTTAGCTTTTAAGTTGTGCGTTATTTAATAGACTTGCTGGTGAAGCTTTTTCTTGCGTGTGTGATGATTGTTTGTTTGAATTTATGAACAAAGCTACACAATGAGCTATCTGTGCTCTACCCATAACGGGTATCGAAACCCGGTTTCTAGCGTTGTAAGTCCGCAGACATACCGCTGTGCCACTGGGGAGCGTGTGTGATGACTAGAAACCATCATGGGTCAGTTAAGAGCAAAAGGTTTCAATTCATCATATTGAATATCACGCCACCCTTACTGCCCTAGAAAGATGATTTTATGCGTTTAGACTAATATATTCCAACATGCGATTAATAGAAAAGGCTTCTATAGCACATTTTGATTAAAATATTCTGTTGTGTTTTGACAATTCAGAGCCCCCAGTGGCACAGCGGTATGTCTGCGGACTTACAACGCTAGAAACCGGGTTTCGATACCGGTGGTGGGCAAACCACAGATAGCTCTTGTGTAGCTTTGCGAATAATTAAAAAACAAACAAACAAACAGACAATTCAGAATATACAATTAAATATATAAACAAAATAAAAGTGACTATAGCGTCGAGTTAACTATTTGTATATCAATAAGTGGATAAGTGAATAAGTCTAAAGGAAAAATAAATAATTATAATTTTCTTTGAGCGTCTGAGTGAAATGTCAAATCATGGATAGGGGTCGCTATTTCAATGTATTTACAAAATACAACAAATTTTGTTTAAATAATTATTGCATTTGATATTTTTTTTCTGTGCATTATTTTTCATTTTCTTGAAAAAATCCTGGTACTTGAGGTTAATTGAACTTTTTTTGATAATTATTTACTCATATGATAAAATTTAAGCCTTTTATGTAATTTCAGTTATATCAATTAAATATTTATGTCTTTTAAGCCGAACTAGATTATTTATAAAATATTCGGGCCTTTGGGTGGTTTATTTTAAATTCATGTGCATTATTTTTTCATTTTCTTTAAAAAATCCTGGTACTTGAAGTTAATTGAACTTTTTTGATAATTATTTACTCATATGATAAAAGTTAAGCCTTTTATGTAATTTCAGTTATATCAATTAAATATTTATGTCTTTTAGGCCGAACTAGACTATTTATAAAATATTCGGGATTTTGGGTGGTTTATTTTAAATTCATGAAAAGTTTCTGGACAAACTGTTTAAGAAACATTCTTTTTAAGACACTTCGTTTTAATAACAAACTTTTATTTTCAATAATAGTTATACAGGTGATCAAACTAGTGTTAATAACATCAAATATGCTCTCTCTTGAAATATCTTCCTGAAATGGGTTATCAAGGGCCAAGACTAAGCTTTTATTTTCAACAAAGCACCAACCTCTCTTATTTTTATTTTATTTTTTACAAAATATTGGTGTACTTGCTATTAAAGTCATAAAAAACGAACTTATGTTAAAGTAGCGTATGGCATGAAATTGTAAAAAAAGCTTTTGGAACTTAACCGAGTTGCGCCTAGACACATAACAGGTTTTACTTCATGATTACGTGTTTGTTTGTTTTTTTGCTTTTGTTTTTTCCTTTTAGAGAGAAGGAAACAAAAACATTAGCGCTTCATGTTAGATTTTGTTTTACCAATTGGGATTTTGAGCAGAGATAACTGTACTAGAGACATCTGTGTTAGACCTTAAGATGTAAATAATCTTATATAAAGGGGCATAATGGTGCTTTTTCACATGAGATACACATTTGCCTTAAGGTTTTAATGTGTATCAAATATAAAAGATGACGCTTTTCTTCTCTCTATCGATAAAGCAATTGCCAAACCTCAATCCTTAAGAATTAAGAATCTCCTCATCAAATCACTCAATAATCACTGAGTACTTTTATCTTTCATCCTCCTCCAAATGAGAATTCAGTCCTATGACATTAATATTTTGTGGTACATTTATTTAAGTGATGGAAGGCCATGAAAGAAAAAAAAAAAGGTGTTACAAAATATTACAATAGGCTGGTGAATGATCACACCTGGGTTACAATATGCATTTCAAACAGCAATAATC